CTGTAGTTATGATACACAAATTAGGCTAGGTAATTGGTTTGCGTTTGACCGTGACAGAAATGAGCCGTAAGCATCTTGTTGTCAGACAAATAAGGTACATGCAATTAAATTCTGTGATTAACACTTTTTTTTCCATGTGGTTATTGTTGCGATAACTTTTTATACTCCCGTTATAATAGCTGTTATTCACTACATAGAAAATAATAAACTCTACTGATTGTATGAAATAAAAATGCCGTTAATTTTGTATAAATGTCTTACAGTATCTATATTTAAGAAACTCACATAAATAAGATTAGGCTTTTTTATAACCTATTTATGTGTAAAGATAATCCCTTCTCTCGTGTAAATAGTACGGTTTATATAGAAGCAATTTTTAGACGAGATTTCATATTAGTGCATGCTGATCGTCAGCAACGAGATTTTCGAAAAAGTATTAATACGCAAGAGTTGTGGAAGTATAGAAATATTATATGTACGCGAAAAAATGAATCTTAAACCACGTTTATTATTTGTGTTTATTGTCGTCATATTAATGCACGAGATAACATCGAAGCAATTATTATATCCATCATGTAAGCACTCTTCTTTTAAACATGATATATTTTTTATTACATTACTTATTGCAATATTCTAATTATAACTCGAATTTTATTAAAATGTATATTCTGCGTAAGCTTGAGTTAAGTACAAAAGAATGAAAGATATTAAATTCAAATTCGTATGTCACAATGAGAACTTTGACAAAAAGATTTGTGCATAATTTATTCATGCTTATTTTAGTATGCCTACTGCCTATAAAAACGGGTCCTTGCAGAGCAGATATACAGAGATACGCGTACAATTCAGCTTCCGGACAATGCCAACAATTCATATATGGTGGCTGTCATGCAAATGCAAACAATTTCAAAACTATGTCCAAGTGTGAAATGACGTGTAAAACTATATAACGATGGACAAAAATGCTAAGCAAGAGATTCAGTAAAGATTTAACAAGAAGTTTATTTTACACTTTACTTTAACCCTAACTATACACGCTCTTTTTTTTACCCTTACACATCCTGGGACCCCATCCATATTTGTTACTGTAACTTTTGTAAAAATGGACATATTTTAATTAACTTTTTTTTTAATCGATGGAGAATTGATTAAGGAATAAGATATGTAAAAGTCGATAGAATTAAGGAGCTTCGTACAGGTTCAAAGAAAAAGAAAAATGTGTGTGTGTGTCCAGAAACACGAAAAAATCTCGATTTACCAACTGTTTTTGGCACCTCAGTGTGTATAACTCAGGTTAATAGTACACTGTTGGAAAAAATATGTCGAATTTAACATAAACTACATGTCGCAAACGAGCTTTTGGCTTAATTGAACACAAGATGAATATGTTAGAAGATTACACAAATGTTATGTAAGAGAATAGATACAAAAAAAAATATTAACATAGTTTGTAAACAAATTGTGGAAGTATTTTTTCAGGAAATTTATAATATGTTAAATAAAACGTATTTCATTTATTTGTTTTAGAATTTACGTTTTAAAACATATGATTTTTATATTACTTGTTCACTTATTCATAAATTGTGTCATTTTGACATTAAGAAACGTTAAATATTAATTTCACACAAAATCTTTAAATAACATAATTATATTAAACACATTATATTAAATTAATACTCAAATATGTTAAAAAATTCAACACAAATTTTTAACACAGAACATGAGTGGACCGTTTCCAACACAAATACACAATTTTTTTACTGTATAATAAAAATTATAATTCTAGTGACATAATGTATAATTAAATGTATATGATAAGAATACAAAAAAGCCCTTGTTTCCGCATTATTGTGAATTCTAATATGATCCCCACAGTAGCACTTGTCGATTTATATACGATTCCTAAACATATTTAATATTCTACAACTGTCTTTAAAGTTTTTAATGTAGAATATTAGATACGTTTAGGAATCGTATATAAAACGTATATGAACGAATAAGTGTTTGAGATATTTTAACACAAATAAAGAGACTAATGCTCGTAATTTCTCACCTCTTCTTTTTTCTCTTTTTTCTGTCTTTTCTATAATATTAAAAATACAATAAGAATATAAAGAGTATGTATTTTACAATATATATTTCCAAAATTTTATAATTTGTGTAGTATTAATCCTTAGTACACGCGATGACTTTCCAATCTTTTACTATACACTATGAATCATACGTGACTGGGTTAATTTTCATCACTTTTATGAGAATATGTAAGAATTACGAGAGATAGATTTTCATATACTTTAATATCCTTAGAAAATATTTGTAGGATTATATATATTTATAAATTATATTTATAAATGTTGTAACTAATTATTTGATGCTCTTTTCTAAATAAAGAAATGTGCAGAACACAAATGATCTAATCATATATGTACTAAATATTAAATATATAATATTTTCACTATATCTCTCTCATTGTTACCAAATCAGTAACAAATAGACTGTGACTTGTGCTTTATTATGTATTTACGTATTTAGCATATATTCTGATACTTACTTTGTTTCATTATTAAATTATTATATTATATAAGAACATATTTAAAATATATTTGAAGTAAAAATGGAAAAAGTAATCCCAAATCGAAAGCGGACATTAAATATTATTATATTTCAACAATAAATATTAATATATTATTAAATATTATTATATTTTAGTGCCATAAAATCACGTTGTCACAATTTATGGCTATCATTACATTTTTGATAGAAAAATATTAGCTTCCGTCAGTGTACACCTGATCGCTTCCGGCCCTTTCAATTTACAGCGGCAAAGACGATCACTTTGTGATCTGCATAACTTAGAATAACTTCCTGCATGAACGAGACTATAGTCCTCTATAAAGGAAGTTGCTCTAAGTTATGTAGTAGACACAACTTGCTACATACATCGCGAAGCAATTTTATCGCGAAGAAATCATCCAGCGTAATGTATGAGGAATAATGAAGAATAAAACGGAAAAATATATATATTATTCGGGGTTTAATCCCCGGTTTAGGTAATATTTTTCGCAATAAAATTATTTACAGATTTTTGTGTTTATAATAAATAAATATTAAATCATGCTAACATTAATAAAAATGATAATATTGCCCGACCTCTCTGGCTTGTGGTTTCTCACAGTAATGCAATATTTGCCGAGAGGGCATTAGTACACAGACATGCTTCGGATTCGCACTGTATGTGTTACATTATACATTATACAGTATAGTGCATATTAATCCACAGATACTCATTTCAAGTAAATGTTAATGTAAATAGTAAATACTATTTGCCTGTTTTACATTTACTACGCAAAATACTTGTATTTCAAATAGTAATGATTAATTGACGTACTATGTTAGAAATGTAACCACGAGCTTCCTTTACATGTAAATGAAGCTCGTGGTTATAAACGAAATTAAAAGTAACGAATGATTTAACTGAAAATTAAGTTACAGTAGTTACTTAAATGTAATAAACATGTACATTAAATTTATGAAATTTAATGTACCTACTTTTGATAAAATTTTATGAAAAGTACATTAAATTTCATAAATTTTCATGAAAAATACATTAAATTTTATGTATATGTACACAAATGTACTTTTTAGTTATAAAAACATTAAATTTAATGTAATGTCATGAAATGAAATTCAAATTGTGTAACTTAAAAGTTAATGAAATTTAAGAACATTTCTAATAGTGCATTCTTTAAATAAATATTTTTATTAAATCTATTTCAATTGTTTCCTTGTACTGTGTTAAAAAAATATTTATTTATTTAATTATTTTCTATCTCAATTATTTTCCCCAACAGGTCATAGTAGTAGTCTGACTTATCGATTTCATTTAAATTACATTGGGCCGATAAATCAGATTATTACTATACTAATTTCCAAAGAATGCGCATGTCTGATATACATCCAAAAAACGTCTTGAAATAGACGTCTTTAAAACTTTTCCAAAAAATGTCTCAAACTTTTCGGAAAGACGTACCCAGATAGACAAATACCTCCACGGTATTAGTACGGTGAGCGTACGGCGTACTATGCGTGCCAATA